GCATTGCTGAATCAAATCACGCAACAGAAAATGGCAGAAGAAATGGACGTTCGAACGCATCTGACGCAATTCTATGACGCCATCGATAAGCTTCAAGCCATGAACGTCGAAATCAACGGCGATCTGCTCACCGTGATGATTTTGAACAGTCTACCGGCTAGTTTCGAGACTTTTCGTATCGCGATGCTATCCAGGGACGATTTACCCGATCCCGATTCTTTGCGTATAAAAATCATCGAAATAGATGATACAAGGAAACAGAAGGAGAAAGATGACGACAACGGCGCCATGTTTGCAAGGCATGGCCCTCCTGGCGGACAATCGCGAAAACCACACGCCAGTGCTGACACACAGAACAGCAGCAAATAAATTTTGAACGACAAACGCATCAAATATAAGTGTGGTTATCGTCACAAGGTTGGTCACAAAACAGCGAACTGTTTCGCGAAGAGGAAGACAGCCTCCCAAAAGGCGAATGTTGTCGAACAGACACTTATTGTAGAGTGTTTACAATCGTCGACGAACAGTGCATCACCGTCCAAATGGTGTCTTGACAGTGGCTGCACGTCTCATCTGTGTAACGATAAAAATTTGTTCATTGAGTCAGAAGAGACAAATGGTGGACTCAAACTAGCAAGCGATGCAGTGACGCAAGTAACCGGAAAAGGTTCTGTTCGGTTGTCAGCCTCAAATGGTGAAGTCGAGCAATCTTTCAAGCTTAAGGATACTTTGCTCGTTCCGAGTTTGAGAGTGAATTTGTTATCCGTTTCTAAAATCGTCGATAAAGGTAATGAAATCCTTTTTTCCAAAAATCAAGCGGTCGTAAGAGACTCTCAAAAACAGGTCGTATTACTTGCGGATCGCGAAGGCGATTTATTTTTTGTTCGACAAGAATCACAACAGGCGTGCGTAGCAGACAAAGTGACTAAATCTAGTGCGGAAATATGGCACGAACGCTTGGGACACTTGAACGCAAATGACATGAACCTGATGAAAAACAAACAAATCGCGTCCGGTTTGAATTTTACTGGCGTTGCAAATATGCGTGCGTGTGAGGTGTGTTTGACCGGGAAATTGACACGCTTACCGTTTCAATCGCGAACCGAACGTTCTCGCGCATTGCTCGAAATCATTCACAGTGACGTTTGCGGACCCATGCGTATAGAATCACAAGGCGGTGCACAATATATTGTAACTTTCATCGACGATTATAGTCGTTATTGTACCGTTTACTTTATTCGAAACAAGAGTGATGTACTTTCCAGGTTCGTTGAGTTCAAAAACTTTGCGGAGACACAGACAGGACACAAAATCAAAGCCCTCCAGTCCGACAATGGCAAGGAATATTGTAATGAAGCTATGGACAATGTTCTCAAAAGTTCCGGAATCCGTCGTCGCTTGACCACGGTGCATACACCACAACAAAACGGTGTCAACGGTGTAAAAACAGAACGCTAGTGGAATCCGCGCGATGCATGCTTCTGCAGTCGGGACTTCCTTCTTCTTTTTGGGCAGAAGCAATCGCCACAGCTTGCCACATTCAAAATAGATGTGTAACGCGAAGTTTGAGCGAAGGCACACCGTATCAAAAATGGACCGGAAAACGTCCTTTCATAGGTTATTTCAAAATCTTTGGCATCAAAGCTTTCGTTCTTGACAAAACGCCGAATAAAGGAAAATTTGACAAGAGATCGAAGCAAGGGATCTTTGTTGGTTATTCGGAGGAAAGAAAAGCCTATCGCATTTGGATTCCGGGTGAAAAAAGGGTCGTAGCGTCGCGTGATGTAAGATTCTTAAACGAATTCGAGCCGGAAACAGAGTTCGAGGAATTCGTGTCAGATAATGAGGGATTTTCGGAAGGCCAAAGTATTGAGATTTTTTCCAATCAGCGTATTGCGTGTGATGCATCAAACGATGATGAAGGATTGGCGGATAATTCTGCAACAAATTCGGGAGCTCATTTAGAAACCAGTAATGATCAAATTACCAGTAGTTCTACCGTATCGGCGGTACGCGGTCGAGGTAGGCCACGTATTGTACGTACCGGAAATCGCGGTCGCCCGTCGAAGGTATATTGTCAGGTACCAGGTGCACTTGATCACGCTACGGAAGAACATGTTGAAGGTGGTAGTATCACTAGAAGTCGTGCTGCAAGAGTCAGGATTAACGAAGACAGCGCCAGATCGAATGACGGAGACGAGGATTCCACAAACGAAGCTTCTTGGAATACGAATCCAAATCGCAATCATCAATCGCCGAGTGATGATGACGAAGTGGAGTGGCATGACGCAAATTTCGCAATAAATGCATCTGAGATGCCGCTCTCTAAGGCTCTGAATGGCCCGGATGCTGACGAATGGAAAGAAGCTATCTATTCTGAAATTAAAAGTCTCGTTGCTAACGATACTTGGGAGCTGGTCAATAAGCCTGACGGCGAAGAAGTTGTGCGTTGTAGGTTCGTGCTTCGAAATATATACGATGCTGATGGTAGTCTGGAACGTCGAAAGGCCAGACTCGTAGCCAAAGGGTTCACGCAGAGACCTGGAATAGATTTCCACGACACTTTCGCACCTGTAGCCAGACTCGACTCTTTTCGGTTGTTGATGGCATTGTCTGTGGAGCTTAATCTTGATGTTTTTCAGTTGGACATCACAACCGCTTATCTCAATGGAGACATCGACACTGATATTTATATGAGTTCTCCGGATCTCCTGGATGAGATGCTCAGAGAAATCATTCACCGAGAGAAAAATAGCATCGTTGCGGACAAGGCAAAGGTGATGCTGCAGCGTCTTTTGAACGGAGCATACACATGCAAGCTCAAGAAGGCCTTATACGGACTTCGTCAAGCTGGTCGTCGCTGGTACATAAAACTAAATGAAGCTTTTGACAAGATCGGGTAGGTGCCTACAAATGCAGATCCTTGTGTATATGTTGATCAAAGGAAGAAAAGCATAACGATTGTACTGGTGTACGTTGACGACATTCTAATTGCATCGAATGATCCAACACGTGCTGAGGAAATCAAATCTCAGTTATCCAAGAGGTTTTCGATGAGAGACATCGGAATGGCTAAATACTGCCTCGGTATTCAGATCTCTCGAGCAAGGGAGAGTCTGACGTTGTCTCAGGAACGCTATATCGAGGAGGTTCTGAAGAGATTCAACATGGAAAATTGCAAACCTGTGAAAACACCGCTGGTGGTTGGAGCTAAATTAACTACAGAAGAAATGGAGAATAAGAACGTGGGTTCGGACTTCCCGTTTCGAGAACTCATCGGTGCCCTGATGTACATTGCTTTGGCGACACGGCCCGATATCTCACATGCTGTGAGTGTGCTAAGCCAATTCAACTGCAACTATCAGAAGACTCATTGGCTGGCCGCAAAGAGGATTCTTCGTTATCTCAAGGGGACTAAAACTCACGGTCTCGTCTACCAGAAGAGCCAAAGAACACTGATTGGTTATGTCGATGCCGATTGGGGGAACTGTACTATCGACCGGAGATCTTTCACTGGATCTGCCTTTGTTCTCGCAGGTTCGGTTGTCGCTTGGGAATCCAAGAAGCAACGTACGACTGCTCTATCCTCAACGGAAGCGGAGTACATGGCCATCAGCGATGCCGCAAAACAAGGTGTCCATCTTTTAGGATTTCTTAAAGAGCTAGGCCTTCAAAACTTTGCTCGACTCAAGCTGTACAACGACAATCAAGGGGCTCAAAAACTAGCGCATAATCCACTTTTCCACGCGAGAACTAAGCATATAGATGTGCGCCATCATTTTATACGCCAAGTTCTCCGGGATCATCCGATCGTACTGGAGTACTTGTCCACCGAGTCAATGTTGGCCGATGTTCTGACAAAAGCACTTCCTCGTGCGAAACATGAAAAGTGTATTTTTGGTCTAGGTGTATTTCGTTGTGATAAACACGGTAAAATTGAGGGAGAGTGTTGAAGAGACAATTGTTCCGTGTTTCTTCACACTGTGGAGCCATCTAACATTTTTTGTCTTATGGTTAAGTGCGCCCTCTCCATAACCACTATGTATACTGCGCCTTCTTGGTCAGTCTGATCCGAACACTCACAACGGTCAGTTTCTAATAAAGTATATTTCTTTTCATTTTATCGTTCGTAATTCCTGCCCTGCCATTTGCTCAATAGGTTATGGGCCCAGGCACTACGGGTATTGAAGTAGATTTTTCTTTTGTGTGATATACGTAACATAAAGAACGTTCTCGAAAATTCTTCGACCCAGTGACACGCGAACAAATTGAAAATGAATACTGTAAACTCCACGCGAATAGAAGCGCTTACGCGTGATAATTATGACACGTGGCGAATTCAAGTGGAAGCTCTTTTAATAAAAAACGACACGTGGTCGTACGTTTCGGGCGATATACCGATGCCAGTAGTAACCGGTGAAGGCGAAGCACGCCAAAGATCGGAAGCTCGACACAAGGAATGGATTGCAGCGGATCGCAAAGCGAAATCAGACCTCGTTCTCTCAATTTCACCGTTGGAGCTGAAACAAATTCGTGGATGCGTGACATCAAATGATGTGTGGAGAAAATTGGAAACTGTCTACGCATCGAAGGGTCCTGCAAAAAAGGCAGCATTGCTGAATCAAATCACGCAACAGAAAATGGCAGAAGAAATGGACGTTCGAACGCATCTGACGCAATTCTATGACGCCATCGATAAGCTTCAAGCCATGAACGTCGAAATCAACGGCGATCTGCTCACCGTGATGATTTTGAACAGTCTACCGGCTAGTTTCGAGACTTTTCGCATCGCGATGCTATCCAGGGACGATTTACCCGATCCCGATTCTTTGCGTATAAAAATCATCGAAATAGATGATACAAGGAAACAGAAGGAGAAAGATGACGACAACGGCGCCATGTTTGCAAGGCATGGCCCTCCTGGCGGACAATCGCGAAAACCACACGCCAGTGCTGACACACAGAACAGCAGCAAATAAATTTTGAACGACAAACGCATCAAATATAAGTGTGGTTATCGTCACAAGGTTGGTCACAAAACAGCGAACTGTTTCGCGAAGAGGAAGACAGCCTCCCAAAAGGCGAATGTTGTCGAACAGACACTTATTGTAGAGTGTTTACAATCGTCGACGAACAGTGCATCACCGTCCAAATGGTGTCTTGACAGTGGCTGCACGTCTCATCTGTGTAACGATAAAAATTTGTTCATTGAGTCAGAAGAGACAAATGGTGGACTCAAACTAGCAAGCGATGCAGTGACGCAAGTAACCGGAAAAGGTTCTGTTCGGTTGTCAGCCTCAAATGGTGAAGTCGAGCAATCTTTCAAGCTTAAGGATACTTTGCTCGTTCCGAGTTTGAGAGTGAATTTGTTATCCGTTTCTAAAATCGTCGATAAAGGTAATGAAATCCTTTTTTCCAAAAATCAAGCGGTCGTAAGAGACTCTCAAAAACAGGTCGTATTACTTGCGGATCGCGAAGGCGATTTATTTTTTGTTCGACAAGAATCACAACAGGCGTGCGTAGCAGACAAAGTGACTAAATCTAGTGCGGAAATATGGCACGAACGCTTGGGACACTTGAACGCAAATGACATGAACCTGATGAAAAACAAACAAATCGCGTCCGGTTTGAATTTTACTGGCGTTGCAAATATGCGTGCGTGTGAGGTGTGTTTGACCGGGAAATTGACACGCTTACCGTTTCAATCGCGAACCGAACGTTCTCGCGCATTGCTCGAAATCATTCACAGTGACGTTTGCGGACCCATGCGTATAGAATCACAAGGCGGTGCACAATATATTGTAACTTTCATCGACGATTATAGTCGTTATTGTACCGTTTACTTTATTCGAAACAAGAGTGATGTACTTTCCAGGTTCGTTGAGTTCAAAAACTTTGCGGAGACACAGACAGGACACAAAATCAAAGCCCTCCAGTCCGACAATGGCAAGGAATATTGTAATGAAGCTATGGACAATGTTCTCAAAAGTTCCGGAATCCGTCGTCGCTTGACCACGGTGCATACACCACAACAAAACGGTGTCAACGGTGTAAAAACAGAACGCTAGTGGAATCCGCGCGATGCATGCT